GTTTAACGTAGAACGAATTCAATAGAAAAAATAGTTGTGTTATTTTGACGATTTTTTTTGAACTACCTCAAGGTTCAAGGTTCTTAATTGATTTTTCTATTGTGCTTTTGTATGGATTTGCGTATACAATAAATTATTATTGATAGATTAGTTAATTGTTCATACTTTTTTTTAAAAATGCAAATCTATGTAAAGTCGACCCTATTTATAATTTACAATAAAATTAATACACCTTTAGCTGTTTTATTTTATTTTTCAACATTAAATGCAAACATCTCAAACTTATTTAAAGTGCACCTTTTATTCGGATGCCTTTAATCTGTAATTGTACATATATAATGATATTATTTTTAATTACAATTACAATATTTTAATATATCTCTGCCTTTTAAATTATATTATTTCTGGGCAACTTTTGTTAAAATTTATACAGTATACTGTATCTATTCTGCCCTGGTAAGCCAAACCCCCGTATGTACAATATTGAGTTATAAGGGACAATAGATCATTTTCATTGTTAAAAACAATAAAAATTATCGTTTGTCCTTTATTACTTAATATTGCGGATACGGGGGTTTGGCTTAGCACGGCAGTATTATAGATAATCTATATGACTTTACTTTTGATTAAAAACCATATTACTTGGGATTTTGTGTAGTTACTAACAACATTGCAGGGGCGAACAAAACGTAATAAAACTTTTTAATTTGTGGAATAAATCGATATATTAAATTAAGTGTTTTTGATTGGGTGATTAAACGTTGTAGGATTATTTAAGTTGTTTTTAATGTTTAATAGATGTTGTATTCTTTATGGCTAAGAGGTTTATATTAATTTAGAATGGCAAAGTGCATTAAGTTACTTTAATGGTTTAAAAAAATTATATTTTTGCAAAGTTTTAATAATGGATATTTTTACATTTTAGTAATTACAAAAAATATACAAAATTGTTAGAAACCGCAGGGAAATCAAGATTTTAAAAGATCATTATAAACGTTATAAAAATATATTTTGTGGAAAATTGAAAACAAATGATATAAATTCACAGAAAATGTTTTTTTTTGCAGGGAATTCCCATTAAGCAGGTTTTAGCATATTTTTAGAAATAATGTAAAACATTTAAAATATTAAGAAAAAAAACATAAAATACATAGGACATTTTTAAGACGGGTTTAGGACATTGAATTATATAATATATATGTTATATATTGAATTATATATTCTTTTATATTCTCGCTACATAGGCGAACGTTCGACAAAATTTGGATTTGGAAACAGCTTGAGCGCTCGACGTTATTATTGTGTTTGGTATTGAAATATAATCTAGTTTTTAAGATGAAAATGCTTGATCATATTTAAGTAGTTTAAAAATGTTTTGCATTTAATAGTTAAAATTCTTAATATTTTTAAAAATATTACCCCTAATGCTAAACAATGTCCGTACAATTTTTTATGACCGATTGGGTTATTGCCTGGACGTAGAAGCGTGTCTATTTACAAACAAAACAACACATTTTTTTAATTCAATTTTTAATTTTATTATATTTAATACCAGCTGTCAACCCGCGGGCTCCGATCCGCTTTATTGTTTTGAATTATGTAAACCTGAACATAAAATGTGTTTTTTTAGGTGCAATTTAAAGTTCTGGGAATCCAAAATATAAACAAAAATATTTTTTTTTGCAAGAATCAAAAAATCAAATTTTTTTTTAAAAGGTCAAATGGTCAAAGGTAAATGTCAAAAAGTTAAAATGTCAAAAAGGCATGTAAATATATATTTTATAGACCGACCTGCCAATGAAAGTCTCGTCAAAATCAAATCGATTTTGAGCCGAATCCGAGATTAGCCCGGACAAACATGGATAGATTTTAATTTTTAGAAATATTTTTATTTCACATAATTTTCTTTATTTTTATTTGTTTTGACAAAACACATTTTTAGTTACATGGAAATAACTTGTCGAGTGGTTAATAATGGCGCCGATTGTATTGGAAATTGTTGATAATTATTGACATTCATTTCTCAAGCTGTAAACAATCTCATTTCTTCCCCTGTATATATTTTTATTCCCTCCCGCTAATCAAGTAAGAAATGTTCCATTCCCTCCCGCTACCGTGACGACGCTACAGTGTGATTGACTTTGGAAGTGTTTTTGATTTAAAGCATCCGAACTTTAAATCCAAAAAAAGATTGCTTTAAAATGAAAAATCTTGATAACCTGTGTTCAGTACATCGCACAGTAGGCTAGAGCGCGCTTCCAGCGCGAAGAAATTCAAAATAAGTAAGTGTTTTATTTCGACCAAATTTAGGAAATTTTGAATTCTTTAATATCTGTAGATAATGAAACATCTTTAAATCACCTTCAAATCTGTTGAATTTTTATCAGGTAACCAGTCAAAGTTTAGGAATTATAATTACTTGCTTTGTGTTGATAAATTGCGCGTAAAGGTATTGCTTCTCTTACAATGTTTATTATGAATTTATTCTTACTTTTTGACTATAATTGTATTAAATACAGTCATACGTTATGGCTGGAACGAATAATGGTTAGTTTTTATTATTATTGTACTGTCACTACCTTAATAAAGTAACCGCAGCATACTTTTAATAAATGTATGGACATTATTAAGGTTTTAAAAAATGTCACTCACTGTCACACTCTGTGTTTAGGTTTTTTTAATAGCTTACCGTTCTGTCTTTCAAATAAATCTTAAATCAAGTGCTAGTAGGCGCAACAAATATGGTTTGTTTATTTTTTTCAGTTAATACATTATCCCTAACTCATACGGAGCTTTGTGAAAAGTGTTTTAGTTTGAAGCATTTCAATATAAAATTAGTTTTAAATTACTTAGTAGACTACGCATTTACAAAAATATATGTATTTTGGAAAAAACTTAATTCAATTTTTTTTTTAATATAGAAAAACGCTGGAAGCCCAGAAGAAATATCATTGTATTAAATATTGTCAGGCGTTGGTGATGAAAACCATCAATTAAAAAGCTACTAATACCAATAAATAATTTTGAATTTATTACTGATAACTATTAGTGAAAATTAATAATTTTTGCCACCACCGCTGTATTCTAGAGAGCGCTTCCAGCGCGCGAAAATTTAAAATGAGTAAGTGTTTTATTTTGACAAAATTTAGTGAACTTGGTTTTTTTAATATCTGTAGTAAATCAAATAATGTTATATAACCTTCAAATCTCTTGAATTGAAAAAAAAAATGATATTAAAAACTATAAGATAGTAGGCAGTGGCGGCTGGTCAGGTACGGCAAGTACGGCCTGGCCTCATTTTCATATCTAACGCAGCTCGAATTCAGCCGAAATACATTTTATTAGCCACGTCGCACAGTAGGCTAGAGCGCGCTTCCAGCGCGAAGAAATTCAAAATAAGTAAGTGTTTTATTTCGACCAAATTTAGGGAATTTTGAATTCTTTAATATCTGTAGATAATGAAACATCTTTAAATCACCTTCAAATCTATTGAATTTTTATCATATTACTTGCTTTGTGTTGGTAAATTGCGCGTGAAGGTTTTGCTTCTCTTACAATGTTAATTCCTAATTTATTTTTAATTTTTGACCATTATTGTATTCAATACTGTCATACGTTATAGCTGGAACAAATAATGGTAAGTTTTTATAATTATTGTACTGTCCCTACGTCAATAAAGAAAGCGCTGCATTGATGTATGTATAAACAATACAAAGGTTTTAAAAAATTTCACGCATTCTGACACTCTGTGTTAAGTGTTTTTAATAGCTTACTGTTCTGTCTTTTAAATAAATCTAAAATTAAGTGCTAGTAGGCACCACAAATATATTTTGTTTAAAGCATTTTAATAGAAAGTTGGTTTTAAATTACTTAGTAAACTGCATTTACAAAAATAAATGTATCTCGAAAAAAATTTAATTCAAAAATTTAATTTTTTTCAAAAAATATAGAAAAACGCTGAAAGTAATATTATTGTATAAAATACGTAACGTAAAAATAATTCAGTTACATTTTTCTAATTTACTTATTAAAACTATAGATCTTAATTTTCCCATCACACAATTTGTGTGACACAAATATACTTTTGTTGTTAAAGTATTATACGAGTATTGTGGATTTGCTTTTCTATTGGTAGTAAAAAGTAATTTTTATTAAAATTTCATCAATAAGACCAAAAAAATTAACATTACCTAAGAATTACTTAACCAAATAATTTCTTCGCGGTAAATAGGTTCTCTAGCCCACTGTGCATCGTGTCAAATTAATATGGACACGATTCAATAGGGCATAGAAATTATTCATATTTAGCATAAAAATGCGTGTTAGGTCTATTTATCATTTAGTCAACAAGTTAGAACAAACTGGTTCACTTGCGTTGTTGGGGTACTCGATCAGAAGTAAATATCGCTTCTGTAAGCCAAAGTGTAGATCATCTCTTACACTTTGGATAACTATTTCATGTCGTTCTTAAGAACTTCGCCTTTTTTAGATTACTATGTGTAGAATTTTGTATGAAGATCTTCATCTCAAGGATTAAAGAGTTTAAATGATCATCATTGTGTCGAAATTTTGCAAACTGGGCTCAACAGCAGTTGAAAGCCAACCTTTAACGAAACATTGAAGCACCATTTAAAATATTTAACGCGATATGAGTCGCAAATTGGGTCTCTGAAACAAAGTCGAGAAGGGAATTTAAACGATATTATTTTTAAAACATAATGTCATCATTTGTTTTTCAAAGTTAAATCAAAACTAGATGACGCTTTAAATGGAAAACCCTATAGTATGCACATTATATACTACTCACACCATTTATCTCAAAAAGCAACAATACAATAAAAAACGTATTGTATGAATATCTGAAGAAGATGAAAGAAATGGAGAGAGAGAGAGAGAGAGAGAGAGAGAGAGAGATGATGATAAAGAGGAAAAAATAGCCACAACATCAAATTTACGAGGAAGGAAATCGTTCATGAAGGATCGGGCAACATCGGACTCACCGATGGTTCTATGACTATGCCTTCGCGCGTTTTCCATACACTCTGAACCTAATTCTATACCTTGTTGGACGGCGGCGTCGCCAGGCAGCGGCATGATTTCTGAAAGTAAAAAAGAAGGTTAAATTTTTAAAAAAATACGCGTCCACGATTATTTTTTTGCCCTGCATATAAAGTTCAGAACCCTACTCGTGGACACACGCCATTTTTTATTTGGCAGGATAGTTTACTGTATATTTTTACATACCCACATCTCCAGGAGTGGTGCTGTTTGAAGGAAGCGACTTCGCGTGGAAAATTCCATTTATTGGGTGAGCGGTGTTCTGGAAATAAAAAACGATTTTTTTGTAAAATAAAATTACCAATAGTGAATTGTACATTTATTAAAATTCACTATGAACAAAGTATATATATTTTTTTAATTTTATAAAAATGACACTATTTGTAATAATTATTTTCTTACCTTTGCTATTTGCAAAAGCACAATGGAATGTTTAATATTATTCAACATTTCCTAAAACAAAAAGAACATAATATTATTAACCTTAAAAATATTTTTCGATCTACATCAACATAAAATTATCACAGAATATGTCCGCAAAATTTAAAACAGCCTAAATTACTATTTAAAAAACAAACATAACAATTTAAAATGTTAATTTTTTTATATTTTGTTTATATTGTTATAATTTTTAATTTAACTTACATTGGCGTGCTGTAATATTAGTTCACATTTGTTTTTTTCCTCCAAATCGGTAATTATGTCCATTCTTTCCTCTAAATTCTGAAAAAATCATCATTACAAATATTGCAATTTCAACCAATTTATTTAATTAATTGGTACACAATGCAAATTTTATTTTTTAAATCGTAATACTACGCTTTGTGCGCAATAAGCCGCAAATTTCGAATTGATTTCAAGAGTTTGGTTTGACACACTTACTTTCAGCAAAGCCCTGCCTAAAAGGTTTTTTATTATTTTTTATTTTTATATTAGGAAAATAGTTTCTTTTAGATTTTTACAAATATACATAAAATTTTAATAGTAATACTGTTTTGTTCAAAGGGACTTGTGATTTTAGAGTTTAAAAGTAAGCTTATTCTAGACTGCTAGTATAAAATAAAAATATAAAAAGTTATCGAATTTTTTTTACCTTTGTTTGATCGATCATTAATTGTAAATATGCATCTGCTTCTGAAACTTTGTTATCGAAATCTTTTAATGTAGGTGAGGGGTGATATGCATCCCATTTCATCTAAAAAAAAAAACATTTAATTAATCTGTTAAGTATTTATAAAAATAGTTTAAACTTTAAAGTATTTTATATCAATTCCAATGGAAATGTTATATTTGACCGGTTTATCAATGTCCGGTTAAAGTTGCAGTTAGTTATCTGGCAGATAATTTTCATGGATACCATTGTTCTCACAACGATCGATATGGAAACTGTCAGATAGACTAACTGGAACTTAACCAGAGATTGAGAAACCGGCCCTTAAAGCTTAAGGCAGCTTAATGTACCAACTACACAGATAAAAAAACAGTAACCTATACAGTATTTTAAATACTATTCTAAATCATATTTAATGTGCAGAATATTGCTCACTATAGATCCTGGCACTATTCATTGATGTGACAAAAGTAACTATTGCTGTTGCCAAAATAACCCGTGAGGTTTTATTAGAAATTATATGATTTTCTTTCAAATCGTTCGAAATGTTGGAAAGTACCAAACTGTGAACAGTTTTATGCCAAATGTAATTATAATATAATAATATTCTGAATAAAAGACCGAATATTTATTTATTTAGGAACTGGTTTAACAGATACTGATTAAAATAAATAGATTTTTATCTGTCAACCGCTATTTAACTTATATAGCTTTTACAACCAAATGCAGAACAAACCACCATTGTATTTTATTATTGCAAACAACGTTCTTAATTCATTTTCAGGGAAAACACACAAAACAAACTTGTTAAGTTGACACTGACAGTACGGCTCACATGGAATGTTTTACTTGCAATACACAACAACGGGCATTAAGTGTCCATTCTTTTAATGTGTCTATTTATGATCTCAAATAGTGCATCGACACATCCACTGCATGGATAATAAGTGGATTAATGGTTACTGTTTTCCTTTCTCCATATATAGAACTATAAGTGGTTTGAGTTGAACATGGTCCATGGCCCCAAAATGTCGCTATAACGCTTTGACACGCTTTATATCTGATAAAATCTGAAATATTCTCCATTTAAAAATGGTTGTTATAGAAACAATTCTTCAAGTTAATCCTATCTTTAAGAAAACTTAAAACCGATCTCTTGAGGGTAAAAACGATTTACAAATTAAGCGTTCTTACGTTTAATGCTGCTTCAAGTAAAGCATGGAAACAGCCGCAGTGGCAGATTAATTTTCTGCTGGATGACAAAATAAAGCGAAAGAAGGGCCCTGGTATAAAATAACATTTTCCCACCTTCAGACAACGTTGGAAATATGTTATTTTTTATGTGTTATAAACATAACGTTTCGTGAAGGTATTGCTAGTATCGATGTTTATACGTTTTAACTATACTTTTGCACAATGTTTTCTTTACCCACACAAACCCCACTTTCAAACCACTTTTGATAAATCGAAAATAGTATATTATTATACAAGATAATGCGGATTATCTCGAGTCTATTACTACTTTTTTACTCCTATTTACTAATTTTCATTGATAACATTTATTTTGCCAGATTTTATTGATCATTATACTCGCCCCTCGTATATATAAAAAAATCTGACATCTGTTAAAAAGTTCCTTGTTTTTCCAAGTTAACACCCAAATAGTTTAAATCACAGTGAATTTTAAAATCAACCAATCAGTGATATCTAAAAAAGTTAATAATGAGTTCATTATTCCCGTTGTTAGGCGGCGAGGTTATATTGGTTACCATTATATACAAAACAACGCAAATAATGTCAATAACAGGCAATAGGAGTAGAAAAACATATTTTTTTACTCCCACCTTGACACACATTGACAAGCTGTGACTTTATGGCATTTTAGTCACGGGCTAGTTGCAGTTTTCAAATGTCTTACAATCGTGAAAATAAAGCGACTACAAAGTGAGGTTTTACCAGTCTGACATGTGTCAGGTTTTATTATTTTTTTATTATAATTTATTATAATATTATTTAATTTTTATGTTCTTCTAAGAAAAGTATTGCATACTACTTGTTTATTAAACCTATATAATAATAATTATTATAACGATTATATTATTATATTAAAATATTTTGTACTGAATTTTTTATAAATAAAAATAATTGTTATAAAAGTAAAAATAAAAATAAGTGATAATACGAAAAATACGATTCTTACTTTTAACTTAAAAATTAAGTAAAGTAAATTTAACTAAAAATATTTACAATTAACAATTATCACAAAAATAAAAGGTAATTTAAATTACCAATTCCAAACATAAACAATCTATTAGTTAATATAATAATTTTAAATGAAAAATATTAGTATTAGATTGTTTATGTTTTAAATAAGTAGTTTAAATTACCTTTTATTTTAAAAAAAATTATAAATTGTACATATTTAATTAAATTAGAGAACCATTTTGTAATGATTTAGTTTATATTTATTTTTTATTATTTAAATATTATTTAATTTTGAATATATTTTAGTTTTTTTATTATTTTTCTTCCCCCCGCGGTTTTATTAATAAAATCAGGTGTATAGTTCAAAAGAATAATTTTTCACAAAAGATTTTAAGCACCCTGTGAAGTTTTATTTTTACTTACTTGACTGCCATGCCTTATAATGGTATCTTCTAAAGCTCGAACCCATTTTTCCCGCTCTTCGGCGTCTCTGGCTTGAAAATGAAAAGTTTTGTGGTCCACTGTTATGGTAAAGGTGCTGTCATCTTCATCGTCTATGCCGATCACTGCACCTTTTAAACGGACGCAACCTCTCCGAACACCTCGCATCATTTTTTCTTTTGACTGAAAAATGAAAAATGCTTTTTTACCAAAGATATAGAAGGTGCTTTTATTTAATTTTTTGATAATTTGATAGGCTCTTGTTTTCGAGATATCGCAAAAACAGAAGCTGAATGAGCAAAATGATGCTTATTTTTTGAATCAGCGCGCCCAAATTACCCTAGAAAACTTGTTGGCTACCGTGCAGCAAACAGAAAATTTAATTTTGTAATTGGTATATAATTTTGTTATTTTTATCGCTAAAAAGATATGGCTACCTATTAAGTAGTAATTTGACGCACTTTCAATCTATTAAAATGCTATTTAAATTTTTTATACTTTATTTATGTTATCATAATAGGTTAACCTATTATCTAGTAACTAACTGTTATAGACAAAGATGATGGTAAATGCGTAAACTGTATACGTATGTTAATCCACGAATCTATTATAAATATATGTAAAACGCATCATTTTTGTATATAACACCTTAGAAAACCGGGGTGGAAACTTTCCATAGGCCCACTCTGTATACCAGTGGCGGCTGGTGGATTTTAAGTATACCAATATCTCAGTTATTAGACATGGGACCCACACCAAATTTATAATAGTTTATATTGACATTAAATAAACAAGTTCGGCGCAAACAGAATTTAAATTGAAGTTTGCGAAAAAAAGTTAGTTTTTCCTGTCGCCTACCCTGCCTCCAGGCCCCCCTATTTGAGATAATTCAAATTAAAGTGGTGCAATTTATTATCTACTATAATTTATCGACAAATTTAAAATTTTATTCAAAAAATCCAAATATTACAGATTTTATTCGATTTTAAATTTTTATTATTTATTTTATTAAAATAAAAAAATATTTAAAATGGTATAAAAACTGTAATATTTGGATTTTTTAAATAAAATTTTAAATTTGTCGATAAATTATAGTAGATAATAAATTGCACCACTTTAATTTGAATTATCTCAAATAAGACAGGACCCAATAAAGAGCCCTGTGGTATTTTAAAATATGACAGTAAAATTTTCTAAGGGTGACAAATAAAAAAAATATCTGAGGGATACCTATTTCTCTAAGGGCCAGTATATTCACCTCCAACAAAATGTACCCAATGAATAATTGTCATAGTTACAATTATGTCAACAATTGTAACTTTGAGAATTAAAGGGAGGCCAAATAAATTCTTTATGATGCTTCACATCATCCTGTTTAATTTAATAAAAATTCTTGTCGTTGGGAGCCGAGTAAATACATTTCAAAGTTGAGTAAAAATACACGGGTTCTTATGGCAGCACGTGGATTGTTGAAATTTGACGCTAGCACTGGAGATTCGTGGCAACGTCGCTGACGTCAGATAGGAACGCTCTCGCCCGGTGCTACATAGGTGTGAGTGAGAACGTATGTAGCAAGCGTAAAGGTGAAAGAGACAGCGAATACGACGTTGCCAAGCGTTGAGACTGTTATTGGCGAAATTTTTAAAAGCGATGTTATAGATTTTTATTCATTCACATACACTATAACAACGCCTCATGAACTGACAATGCAATTACGTTGCAAAACAATAAAAAAAATCGCCTAAAAATGGAATTTCTACCCATATAAATTTTGGTTGCAAGGACACCGTTCTACCACGATCGAAACACTAAAACTCATGCCAGGACAACCTTAAGATAATGTTTGTTGCCAACTTCTGGTGGCCGGTTTTTTAAGTGTTATTTTTATACAAATTAAACTGCAGTAAGTATAATTATCTTCACCAGTATTGTTTTTAACTTTACACACTTTTTCTTTGTTAATACTATTGAGATATAAATATATTATATTCTATTTCAAGATGTATGGTAGAAAAAATTAATCTTTTTCTTTTAAAACTTTATTTAATAAGGAATAAAAAAATTGTATTTCCTATATTCAAGGTAATCAATAAGCAATTTTAGTCACATATTACAAGTACCAATTATAATAACATTTTTAGTTCAAAATTTTAAAAAATTTCCTATAATTTAGTCTTTACTATTGTCAACGCTCACTACCGAAGTATTCGGTTATCTCCTAGGCTGTAAAAATAATTTTGACTAATCAGTTTTTTACATCTTAGTCTGTCAAAAACCCACAAGGACCAATCAAAACGATCAATACCTGTTAGAACTCCGAAGCTACATATCTAAGTTTATGCTTTTTTTTGCTTAATAAATAACTATTTTTGTATTAACTAGTCTAGTGTTTATATTATTTACAAAAAGATATCTAACTTAAATTTCTTGCAATATTTTCTTGTAAAGTATTCTTGGTAACATTTCGTAAAACGCACTCTTTTAGGATGTAGTAAGTTTTCCTTTTATATTTCATATTTTAGTGAAAAACCATTAACGCCAATTAACAGTGAATATTTTTTGCTGATGAAGATGATTAAATATGCAAAAACATTAGAAGATTATCTGATCAAAAAATTTCCATATGGTCGGGAATATTGCAAATTTCAGTAAACGTAATTTTATTTTAATGTGTTATTTACGAGGAAAGTTATTAAAAATTCGTTTAATAATTCCGGTTACAATGAATTTGAATACATTTTTTATAATATAAATGTATTGTTAATAAAAATTATTTTTGGTTTTGGTCGGACCTCTTGTTTTTGCATCTGGTTTTAAATAGGAAATATTGGTCTTTGACCACCATTCTTTATCTAAAATTAGACGCAAAAACAAGAGGTCTGACCAAAAACAACAACCCTGCTGAACTAAACAGAGGCAAACATGTCCAACCAACCAATCGCAGCTCTCCATTCAGTCAGGCATGAAAGGATTTTTTTTTAAATATTGATTTCACCAAAATGTTTACTTTAAACATCAGTAACTTTTCCAAAATTGGACTTTGATTAAAAAAAAACAAATCGGCGGATCCCCGCTTAATCTGAAATATGAAAATATTTATATTTTTAAAATTGACTGGGGGCCCCCATTTAGGTTGATTTTTTTCAATTAAATTACATAATTTTGTAAAAATTAATTATGCACAAAAAAACATCTTGGCTGGAAAATAGTATAATATTATTAAAGAACTAATGTCATAAGACGTCATTTTGTCACACGAGGACAATTTATAAAACTAGCGACAAAGGAGCGAGTTTTGTTATGGACGAGTGCGACAAAAGGTCTTATGACATGTGTTCTTTATGCTATTTTATTTATTTTGCAAAAATTCTATAAAAAAACTAATTTTACACCTTGTATTTAATTTGGTCGAATTTTACTTTAGATAGTTGGTATAACAGTCATTGGTTTGAAGGGTTAATGTCAAAATCGAAAACCTCATTACAGCACCAAAAGCGGTGTTGCAATGGGAAAGCAAAATAGATAAAATAATTTAAAACCGTTTTCCACCTCCGTCTGAATATTATACTTTTTATATTTAAGATTGCTTTGAGAAGGTGGAAGGAATTTAAAAATCACCTAAATGTTTATTTTTACCATTTACAAGTATTATATATACAGCCGTTTTCAATTTTAAAAATATTCATTTTGATTGGTGACAATTCGGTATTTATTTAAAAATAGATCGATCTCAAAATTTTTTGTTTTAAATTTTTGTACTCTAAAAGCTCTATCTTTTCAAAAAAATTACCTAAATTAATAGAAGGTCTCCAAAATCTTCAAAAGTTATTAGGCATTTTTTAAATTTAAAAATAAGCAGCGTTTCTGAATTTGGCATACCCAAAAACCCCTAAAACGATAATTTTTTAATGAAATTTTATACAGGATGGTCAAAAAGTAAGGTCAAATTCTAAAAAAAAACACTTTTTAAGCACTGTGTATAAATTCTAGCAAGGATTTTTCAAAAATATTTTGTCATATAATTAGGTATCATACGAACTAAACATATGCTACTCTAGGTTATACAGGGTGTTCACAAATTAAGGCCGAAAATAAAAAAAATGGTATTTTAAATAGTAATTTTTAATATTTAATTTGATCTAACTGGAGACAAAATAATAATAAATTAACTATTTAAAAGTAATTTTAAAGCATTTAGCTTTTAGATTACTACAAACTTAAAACAAAAAAATTTGGGGTCCATCTATTTTTAAATAAATACCGAATTGTCGCCAATCAATATGAAACACACTGTATATATATATATATATATATATATATATATGTATATGTATATGTATATTACAAGTTAGCAACAGGTTTTTAAAATAAAGTGCCCTTTCTGTGAAATAATAATAAATGTGAAAATTATTGTAAATACAAACTTTTTAAATATTGTCGTTGAGAAACTAATTCATACTTTTGAATTTTTTGTATTAAGATAATATTATCTTAAGTATTAATTAGTTCCTCAACGATAATATTTAAAAAGTTTGTACTACCCATAAAACATTCTCTTAACTTTCACTGCGAAAAACTTCTATATCGGAACTAAACGGTTGTTACTCCATTTTAAAGGGATAAATTTCGATTTTATACAGAAAAATTTGACATTCCCATTCCCGGTTCCCATTTCCATTCTAACGGATAATAAGTATTTGTTGTAGAAAAAGTGTAGTATTCAACTACATTTAACTTTTCTAGACACTCATTTAAATAAACACTTGGTTGCAAGCTCACTCGTGCCTAATTTAAATTCGTGACTAAAATGGCGTTTATCAAACTTATGTACAAAATAAATAAATCTAAAAACCTCACATAATTATAGAAATAACTTTGTTATGATTGAAACATTATATTTTCCTTTTTCTATATTATTGGTAAAAACGTAAAATGTTTATTATATATTAGATATCTTTAAAAATCAATTTTTTAAACCATAAAATTTAAAATTTGTATTTTTGCCGCCAATAAAAAAGCGCCAAGGAATTTTTTTTATTTCTGGTTTCATTTTTTTTCTAACACCTTCTAAAGATATAATCAGCTGGCAGATTAAAATAACTCGACATTTTTTTTTAAATCTACAAAAACGCACCGTGCAACGTTGAGCTTGTTTAAATCTGGCAAGTAATACAATAACTTAACAGCGACGGTACTGGATTGTATTGTCACCAGGACTAAAAGTGTCTGCAAAAATTCAGCTTAATCGGTTGGATGGACTCTACGCTTACGAAGGTTTTTTATTTGTACCTTTAAACCATTGACAATGCTAAAAAAACAAATGAACAATACTACTACTTACAATAAATTGAAAATTTCGGATATTATCAATGCTCGTTAGCAACGTCAAAACCGGGAAAGGTCCCCGAAAATCCCAACTGTCGGTACCCACCTATCATACATTGCCACCGTGGTCGGGCACCAAGCTTTAAACGCTCATTATAAAGTCGTACGCAGCACGGGAATCGAACGCACTACGGCTTGGTCCCTTGTATCGGTCTAATTGGTATTATAAATAGGCCACGGTTGGTACTAACTCCCTTCAGTTTGGCACCAAGCACCGGCGATGAAACTTTAGTTAACGAGGACACGGGGGCAAAAAAAAATTGAAAATAATAATTTTTTAAATTATTTTTGGTGTATAAGTGCTGTGCTAAATTCGGACAAGATGACTACCTTTGTCAGGCAATTCGACTATCTCTTCAATGAACTCGCAGGTAAGCAGTCGTAAGTAAAACAAAAAAAGATCTTTAATGTAAAAAGTACAGTACCTCCATCATTTTTAAGGTTATTTTATTCAAGTCATTTTTGTCAAATATATACTTAATGTCATGTTAACCATCTTATGTTATAGCATTATAGACCTAACAACCTTAAAATTATGGTAAACCCAAATTTAAAATAATTTTTGGTCTAGAGCTTGACAAATTCCATACCAATAAATTCTCTATTATATTTTTCACACAATGTAATATTAATACCAATGCTAATTTTTGTCTATTAAAACATATTATTAAATATATGTCAAGTCAAAAACCGTATAAACTTGTAAACAAACGATTTTTTTAATTTGCTGATTTATGGTTTTGTCGTTGATTGGAATTTGTGAATTGAATTGAAATTTTATCAAGCAACAATTTAACTACTTTTAAAATTGAGTGAAAAATTACGTAATAAAAAATTAAATCTTGTTGCTACACCTGATTTTTAACATCTTTAATGTATTCAAATCATGTATGGATCATTTTGGCGCGACTTCCTTTCACAAGATTGAGTTTGGAATATAGACAAGCCAAAATTATAATATATAATGACTAATGTTTAATAAAAAACCTTTACTCTTTAGAAGGGTGTTAAAAAGCGATGTCGTTTTTTTTCGATGTTACATGAAATAATTTATTTAATTTTTTAGATCCCAGAGTGGAAAATTGGCCACTAATGAAGTCCCCTGGCCCTCTTTTTGGAATAATTGGCTTTTACTTGGCAGTCGTTTACGTGATTTTGCCAGCTTACATGAAAAATCGAAAGCCCTACAGTCTAAAAACAATTATTTATTATTACAACATATTTCAAGTAGTCGCCTGCACAATTCTTATTTACGGGGTAAGTAATTTTTTTAACATTGAAACTGTCTTATAACTTAAATTTTTCTTACATGAAAACTTTGTAATCTAGAAATATATCGTCAAAGATTATGTATCTAGAGGCATATGGTCCAAGGATTATCTGACTATAGATAGTCGTTTTCACAATTCATTTAAAACCCCGTTGGTTTTTTAATTATTTGAAATTTAAATTGTTTATTCTACCAAGATTTAAAACACAGAGTCATGTGGAATGCACATTTCTCCTACAATTAGAGTTTTTTTAATTAGAAAGGGCGAATCAAGTATTCGTGTCGCAGGCACGTTTTTGTTTTTACGTGTTCTTCAGCAATGCCTGCTGGGTTTTTTCGATTTTTGTTTTGAGCAAAAATAAAAACAGGTTGTAATTATATTTTTATCATATATTTTTTTACTGTAAATAGTAATTAGTAATGTTTCATTATTTTTATCATTTTTCCCCATTAGTGGATAGTAAAATGCAAAAGGAAAACACTCAATGTACAAGGTATTTTAAAAGAATATTTTTTTCTATTAAATATTTCCAAAAAAGGTACAATTTATAACAAAAAGTCAATTTTAACAAATAATTATATTATAATTGATTTAAAATGATATCTTAATTTAAAAACAAATTTTAATAAAATTCCATATATCTTTTAAATTAAATTGGAAAAACTTGTATGCTCCAAGGTATATCCATGTTTTATTTATTCTAAGGTTAAGTACCTATCTTAATGGTTATAGGAATTGCCTGTATATCGAATAGACGACAAATCATATTTATAATTCATAAGTCAAAAAAACAAATGCAAATACAATCAAATTACGTGCGAGGTATTGTTAAACAAAATATTTATAAAGCAAAAAAGGCAACCGCGATTTAAAATTTTAATTACAAATAATGCAAATTCGAAAAATCGATGTACATTTTTTGCACATAAAAATGTCAAAGGTGAAACAATTTGGGGTTTTTGGGTTCAATATAACGCAAAAATCCATTTATAAATAATATATTAAAATAAATTTATTAATTTGAAAAAAAATGGTTTTATTGTGGATTTTACAACCGTGTTTTAATTTAATAAAAGCAATGACAATATTTTATTTTTTTATACGATAAAGTATCTTAGAGTATACAATACATGGAATAACCTTAATGCATATAATATACCGTATGAATCGGTGTTTTAATGTGGATTTTTGTGGCAGAATGTTTACAATTTTTTTTTAGATTGCAACATCAGGATGGACGACAGAATACACTTTCGGCTGTCAACCTGTGGACTATTCCGACAGACCCATAGCGCTTAGAATGTTATCGTTCGTCTATTACACATTTATCTTAAAAGTTATAGAAATGGTTGAAACCGTATTTTTCCTATTGAGAAAGAAAAACAACCAGGTCTCGAAATTGCACGTGTACCATCACGCATCGACCGCCTTGATCGCTTGGAGCGCCACCAAATTCGTTGGAGGTAATTGTTTTGTACATTAGATGTACCTCTATATCTACACTGTTTGGTCTAAGGTCTAACTAATTTTAACTTTTTTAGGTGGTATGACAACTTTCGCCATTCTTTTGAACAGTTTTATTCACATTTTAATGTACACTTACTACTGGTTATCTTCATTCGGACCTGAAATGCAAGCTAGGCTAAAACCATGGAAACCGAGGCTTACAATGGCACAAATGGTAAAATAAAAACAAAATTTGTTTCGAACAACATTAATTTAATATTTTTTTTTAGATTCAATTCTGCTTTTTGTTGGCTCACTCACTTCAGGCACTAGAACCTAGCTGCCAAGTTGCAAAAAATTTCCTTATCTTATACCTACCAAACGTAATTCTGATTTTCTACATGTTCTGGGATTTCTACAAGACGAATTATCTTAAGGGCAAATCAAAAAAATCTATCGACTAATTTCTCCCAATTTTTTATTTATTTATTTTTGGGCTCCTTAGTGCAAAAAGGGGCTAAGTAACTACAAACTCCACTTAAAATTTGCTTTGTAAGTGTAATATTTAAAAGGGAGTCATTTTTTGTATTCGTATTTTTTTTATAAAAGTTTTATTATTGTGATAACTTTTTGCATGGGGGCCTACTTTTAAGTGTAAGTGTACAGTTTAATGAAAATAATTTATTAGTTAAAACGATTTTTATTTTATTTAAAAAAAAGTTAAAACCAAAGGTCATGTTTGCACTTTTAATAGTTATTTGTTTAAGAAGTATCAAAACCCGACTTTTTCACACGAGCTTGATTTAGGTAAACAGGTAAAATTAGTTAAAATCTTCTTTCAATTTCGAATACAATTTTGTATTTTCTTGCTCAAACTCGTTTCCAACTGATGTTAATTAACCACACTGGAATTTTTTGAAATTTTTTGTGTTAATTTTATGAAAAAAAATATACATATATGTATACATACATATATACTTCCATGAATTTAATCATTTTTAGAATAAAAATAGATGATATACACTCTTTATAACACTTTCCTAAAGTAGACATATTTCTTAACGTGAATACGAAACGCATTATTCAATTAAATTTAAAATAATAAAAGTTATTTATTTATTGATCTTTAATTGGGGTTACAAAATTTAAAAGTAAAAAAACATTGTAATCTTTCTTACGTTGTGTGTCAAAATGAATTTAAATAAAAAATAATTGAAGCAAGCCCTGCAATCTATAGATTGCAGGGCTACTCTATATTTATTTGTAAAATTTCAGCAGTCTTTTTTTATAAAAAAAGTTGTATTTTTGATACGAGACACACCTATGTATATTTTCCACAGTGCTACGGTGCGCCGATTGTACATTAGCACGAGCTTAAAAAATACTCTCCCCTCAATAAAACACAATGCTTTTTCTACGTCGAACAAAAAGTAATGTTTTTTTCAGAATTTAAAGGCAATTTTATTTGACATTTTACCTGACATCTAAAACCTGTCAATAGATTTTAATCTTTTTGACCACTATAGTATATATAGGTATATGTGTAAAAGTTACATTTCGTAATGGCATCGTTGCTTAGAAAATGAATCTTTTCATTGGCAAGGCAAAACTCGAATGTAAAGTTACATTTCTGTGTGAAAAGTTACAGGTCTGTGTGAAAAGATAGTTATTTATGTCATTAGGTTAAGAAGTAAGGCTTTTTGTGCTAAGCTCAAGGTTTGAAGGCCGACGCGTAGCGGAGGCCTACACTTGATCGAATATTTATTTTGGAATAAAAATTAGACAAGATTTAAATCTGTAAGCGCAAGGCGAATTTTCTCGATGAAAAATTCGATGAATTAAAATGTTGTTTAACACTCGTAAACAGAATTTTAATTTGGCGCTAGTGCATAGTGCGGTTGTGTTACGTACTACTGCCACGAAGCGAAAATTAGGCAACAGTGCAGTCCAAAATTTTCAGTGCTATCAATAATGTAATACATTAAATGTATATCGACATGATAATGATTATTAAATTATCTAAGGGGTGCATTTCAACAAGACTGCCCTGCTGGCTAACCTCACTTTATACAAAATAATTTAGATATGGACTCTCCTAATAGACAATTTAATTGTGGTTCATTATTTGCTTAGTTGTCTATGCAATAGGATTTCTCGCAGAAGAAGATATTTATATAATTACCAGAATTGTCCTACTCGTTACGTGTCCGAGCCGACTACCTGTACAGTATAAATAATCCACAAACTTAATGAATGTAATTAATGGTAGATTGAAAATATTCCATTGTTGTTTATCTTTTAGTCAATAAAAACCAATATTTTAGTAAAACAGATTTTCTTTATTTTTATTTCAAAAAATTAATAAATTAGATAAGAAATTAAGGAAAGCAAATAAAATGACAGCACTGAATTTGAATGCACCGTTGCCTAATTTATTTACCTTCGCTTGATGGCAGTAGTACGTAACACAACCGCAATATGCACTAGCGCCAAATTATAATTCTGTTTACGAGTGATAACCAACATTTTAATTCATCGAATTTTTCAGTCAGAAAATTTGAGGTACATAATATTTATTCCAAAAAATAAAAACAAGGAATTATTATTCTGTCACATACAAATAGCATTAAATTTATTATCTAAAAAAATAATCGGATTAAAAGAAATATGGTAGAAAGATTCTTAAATGAAAATTCGTATTGCTAGATTTAAATAACATAATAATTAATATCAACTATACCACAACTTTATTCCCGTATAAAAATTGTTTCAAAGAGTTTTAAACAACAAAATAATTCGTATTAAAAGAAAATATTAAAATTTTTAAAAATAACAATAAAAATAAAATTGTATTCAATTTTTATTAGTCAAATAAAATTTTAAGTAATATTATAAACATTTAAATATTAAACCAAATATTTCGTGCAAAATATTTTTGTGTCGAATAAGAAACTTTATCACTTTAATTTCTAACAGGTAAATTGATTTTTATGTCGACGAGTAATAATAGAAATTAATTGTGACAAAATGATAATTTCAGTATTACTTTTTCTTAAATAAATATTGCGCACCTTGAATTAATTGGCTAAGAAATTCGATGAATTAAAATTTTGGTTTACAAAATTTCAATTTGACTGCCTGTTTCTCCAAGTAGCGCCTTATTAAAATTATCTCAACCAAAATTTTAATTCATCGAATTTTTTAGTCAGAAAATACGCCATTCAGTTCTAGAATTAAAATTACTTTAATTCTTATTCTGTGCTTAAAATTGTGTACTCAATATACCAAGACATCATAAAAATTTTACTTTAAAATGTTCAGTCAATTTTTAAAAAAGCAACTTGAATTAATATTTAGCTTTAATAAACATGACATTAAAAAGTAAAACGGTGTGCCATAGTTTAAGCTGTGTTTAACATTTAATTTCACTGAAAACTTAAAGCAAATTAAAACTTAAAGATAATTTAAATCGTAGAAAAAGAATCGTGCGTTTTTTTGGTTGCCCAACCTCACTTTTTGTTTTATTATTCATATTTAATTTTACAATAATTTAATGAAAAATATTAAACATTAACATTAAAACAAACAAATTAGTGCTTATTATAAATAAATTAAACCAGTTTAGTACGTGAATTTCTTAGAAAAGGATTAATTTGTCAAAGCAAGCGAGAAAAAATTACTAATTACTTGCCTCATAAAAATCAGCATAGGCCATAACAAGGTATTTCTTTATCGAATGTTGACAATAATAAAGTTTAAATTATAGACCGCGTGGAGATAAAATTAATTATTTTTGTATTTGAAAATAATAAAAATACAAGGATCGTAGAAAAAATATTGTATTTCACTTGTGATAAAAGCTTTCATCACACTCGGTCTAACGGCCTCTTGAGCAACTTAAACACTCGCATGAAAAAGTCGCTTTTCAACACTTGTAAAACAAATAACTATTTTTTACCAATCTGACATGTTTTTCACACAGATCTGTCACACCAAAACTTCACTTTTCATTCAAATTTGCCTTACAAATGAAAAGATTTATTTTCTGAGCAACGTCATACGAAATATGTCATAATCATAGCGGACAATATTCATATAATTGGGGTTGTGCTTTTTTAATTAATAACATAAATATTATGTTGGTTATGATAACAGTTTATTAGTTATTGTCAAAATCTCTTATTTGAAATTAATTATTATTTAAAGGTATGACTCATAACTTTTTCATTTTTCCTATTGGATATTTAATTTTGAAAATATAAATATGTTTGGTTTTAATTTATAGTTTCAGGTACCTACATTTTAATATAACTTAATTTATATTTTAAATCTGACAACAATGTAAATTTAACATTCTGCAAAGTTTTATTGACGTCCTTAAAATATATTTCAATCGCATTATTTTTAAAAACATTATGTTGGTTACGATAACAGTTTATTAATTATTGTCAAAATCTCTTATTCGAAATTAATTAATATTTAAAAGTATGACTCAAAACTTTTTTTCCTATTGGATATTTAATTTTGAAAATATAAATATGTTTGGTTTTAATTTATAGTTTTAGGTACCTACATTTTAATATAACATAATTTATATTTTAAATCTTACAACATTGTAAGTTTTATTGACGTACTTCCTTAAAATATATTTCAATCGCATTATTTTAAAAAACGCGGATGATGCGGTCTTTCAAAAAAATGATTACTTATTTGCCAAATAATACGTTTGGTGAAAGCGAAGAATGAGCGAAATATCTTGGCCGGCCAGATCCCCAGACTTTACTAGTATGGATTTTTTGTTTAGGGAAACAGATAGTTTACCATGGTAAACTATCTGTTCTTGCAAGAACCCATTTTGAATTGTACTGAAGCATTAAAAAACAGATGCAGTCCAACAAATTCCAAAATGTACAAACAAGTTTGAAAGAAATTTAATTCGTCATTTATCAATGAACATCATGAGAGTTTTAAGCAAATTTTATTATTTAAAAGTATGAACATATATTTTAGTGAAATTTTAGTTTGTCTGCACCTAAAGGTAGGTACAAGAAAATAAAACAGAAACTTAGGGTATGTTCCGTAAATCAACTTGGTTGGTTTGGTTTCGGTTAAGGTGTCCCGTAAATGAAAAATTCCTGAAAATTATGTAGTTAAGAAACGCGGTTCCTGAAAAATAGGTTAACCAATCGTTACCGAAACGACCGACGCTGTATGATCGGTTAAATCGGTTAGCCTACCAGTGCTGCAAACCAAATGGAAACAGTGTTTCCCTAAACAAAATTACTGTTTTTTGTTGGTTATCTAACCTAAAAATTTAACACAGGCATACAAAATACGTTTTGTCCAAAAATAATTGAATTCAGTATATAGGGTGTTTTAGGTTTGTTTATGTAACTATAGAAATATTATTAAAAATATATGCAAGTTGTAGTTTTTGACACAAATAAAAGTAAGTAAGTAAGTTGGGTTATGTTTTTTCAAATAAAGGTGTCCCGTAAATATGAACTAACCGAGAAAACCAGGAATTTATTTCAGTAACCAGACCGGTAACTCGTGTGTATTTACGGAACATACCCTTAATATACAATGTAAATGTCACTGTCAGTGTACCATTTAAAATCATACAATTTATAATAAAACATCACAGGTTACTTTGACAACAGCAATACCTAGTTAGTTTTGTGACATCAATGAGTAGTGTCAGGAACTGTAGTGACCAATATTCTGCACATTCATTATTATTTTGAATTGAAAATAAGTACATTACTGTTCTGCCCATTAATACTGTTTATGCTTAAAATTTGTTTAAATTTTAAGGCAAGTAAATAATATAGTATATAAATCTATCAAACTGTAAAAAATATATATAGGGCATTTAAACCCTGTATTGTTGAAATTAAAAAGATCTGATTGCATATTTAAAAAAATCATGAAAAATTAATCAAGAAAAGTTTTTGAACGACAAAAATATTCTGAGAATCAGAACAACAATGAGGGGGTCATCTTTCAACTAAGGCGGATTTACAGCTAAACCTACCGCCCTTTGGTCCTGGACATGTCCTTATTAACCAGGTATTAGTATTAACGTCCAATGATTTTAGCAAGTTCCATCCACCACAGGACAATAATTGTCGGATAAACACGTGCACAGTGTGCACTGCGCACATATAAGTTATATAACGGCTGTTTTAGGAGTATCCTCGGTTAATTAAAAATAGTTATTTACCTAACTAATGCGTAAAGTTCTACTTTTGCGCACGGGACTGCCGTCATTGCGGAAAATACACTTTTCGCGAGTGTTGGGTACATTAATTTTTCTACAAGGGTGAGAAAAGTTGCTATTTTCTACACGAATTTACGGACGGTTGTAAAAAAATATATATTTCAAACACTAATAATTAAATTTCTGGGTCTACAAAAATCACCAAAAAAATATAATACATATATTATGTAGACTAAAATATTGTCCAAATTTTATTTAATACCATTTTCAAAAAACCTGGAAAACACCCAATTCAATTTATGTAGGTAGGATATTTGAAAAGGTTAGGAAATAAATTTCCGGTTTTTTAAATCCATTCACAGACTGAAAATATATTGTCTGCGATTACCCAACGATTCTATCTTTATCTTTATTATATTCCCATTTAAATTCTATTTTATTTTCAGTGCCTTTAAGCAGGAAAACATATTCTTTATCGTCTCGAAAAAATATTTGTTTACTGGGTTATTTGCAAAAAACACGCTTAAAATATTAGTAGGTAGAAAAACAAGCAAAAAAGTTTTATAGTTTTTTTTAAATATCCTTACTTTTTATATACTCTAAGGTAAATAATCCTAAATCATATAAAACATGGATGGGTAAATAACCATAAAGCCTATAATAATATGCATTATCATTTACCGTTAAAATCACCGACATGAAACAATCAGGCAAGTTTTAATAAAACGTTTATTATAGCATCGTTTGCCGAGCATTAAAAACTAAATTAACAAAAGGGCGAGCAAATTAGAAAAAAAACAATCGATGTTGCAGCATGTCTCCGATAGGGAATTTTGTTTGTAATAGATGACAGTAACTAAATCTGGCGGTAACTTAACCCCATGTTTGTTGTGGAGACGTGTGAAATAAAGAATTGATTGATTTATTTCAAATGAACACATTTTTTTATGTTGGTATGATTAAAACTTTAAAGAGTGTCCATAACTTATTTCCCATAGATTATTATAACGTCTTATAACATTAGTTCTTTAATATACTATTCCAAACTTAAGAAACAAATTAGGATAATGTTGATAGCTTAAAAATTGATTATAATAATAGGTAGTTTATATTCTATGGAAATCTCATGAGCGAGCTCGTGAGATACAAAATACACTGTGGCGTATGAACCAAATTTAACTTTAAAAATCATTTTCTTGGAAACTGTGCTGTAAAAAATTCTGAAATTATTTATGCCTCACCAAATCATGTATTATATTCCATGGAAACTCTTAACCTAAATAGAATGTAAAAATTCAAATATAAGAGTGTTTTTATCAAAATAAATTTGCTATAAATATACATTTTAAAATAATGTTTGTTGTTTTAGCATCCTATTTTTGGACTTTTAATGCTTTAATTTTGCTTAAAACGTAAACAAAGCGCATTTAGCTCGATTTGAGCATATTGTGACATGTGCGGTTTTTGAAAGAAAGTCTTCAATTAATCATATTAAGTAATTGGTTATACAGGGTTTTATTTTTAACTTGTATTAAAACAGCAAAATTATTAGGTTAATTTGATTTCCACAAATATACACAGTCAAAGTGTATAAGGAACATCCAGAAACATCAAATTAAATTTAAGTACCTATATGTACTTAAATTTATATTATAATTAATAAATAATTTAACTTACAAATTATAAAATAACATAACTAAATATAAAAGAACACACTGTATAACACATTTTTTTTAATGCAAAAAAATAATGTTTTTTACTATTTATCGTATTTCTGGGTACCAGTTAAACGGTGCAATTTAGTTAACACCAATAACCCAACCATTAACTATTGACCCAATATTCATCAAATTTTTATAAAAATAATTTTATTATTATGGAAAGGCACCATCTATGTTAGGGACGAACAAAAATTAAGATCAATTGGGTCCCAATTAATGGGATGATAGAGGGTGGTTCATCACAACGTTAAGTGGCTCGTTAATTGGACACATCTGTGAGTGTTAGCAGATTGTAGTGACGTTACAATGAGTATAATGACGTAAAAGAAAGACATCCAGGCCGCAGTATGATAACTACCCCGGTACAAGACCGCTTTTTGCTCCCTGGAATTCGCGCTGCTCGTTTAGCTTGGGCACAAGAACATCTTAATTGGGGTCCTGATGATTGAAGCCGTATTCTCTTTTCTAATGAGTCAAGATTTTCCTACCACCCAGATTCTGGAAGGACACGTATCTGGAGAGAACCTGGAAACCAAGCACGGCTACAACATTCTCATGAGGTGGTGAATTTTGGAGGAGGTTCATTGATGTTTTGGGGAGGAATTAATACTGGCGGAAGAACCGAGCTCATTTTAATGGAAACCACTTTAAGTGCAGTTCGGTATCGCGACAACATAGTTTTACCTATTGTGTTACCCTATTTAACCAATATGGGCCCAAATTCCATTTTCCAGCAGGATAATGCTAGGCCACATACTGCAAGGATTGTTCAAGCAGCATTCAAGGAGAATGATATAAGCGTTTTACCTTGGCCAGCAAAGTCCCAAGACCTTAATCCAATAGAAAAAGTATGAGATGTTATGAAAAGAAGACTTCTGAATCGCCAAAACCATTATGGAGACCAGCAGCAGCTAGTTTTGGCGGTAAAGGTGTGTCGAAATCTAGACTAAAACCTACTTGATAGGCTGATATTGAGTATGCCAAATCGATGTAGGGCGGTCGTAAACAACCTAGAAGATCCGTCCGGATATTAGTTTTTATTTAAAAAAATGTGGCAAAATTATTATAAAAAACATAATATTTGTATATTTGGTGGGTGTTATTATATTAATTTTTAAAGGGGTTGTAACATTATTTTACAATATATTTTTTATTTATTTAGTAAAAAGCACTTTTTTCTATTAATTTTTTATATTTTTATATTAGTTTTTTTGGTTTTACTGCAATAATTTAAAAATATTTAAGTGTTCCCTAGACACCTTGACTGTGTTGGCTTACCAGTATACCAGTATATTATTTTAAAAGTAATATATACCTATATATATTTAACTTATATATAATATAACTTATTAAAAACTGCACAATGGGGTATTATTTGAAATTTGCGAATCCACTTTCTATAGAAAGAGGTTTCTATCAGAAGTGATAAACCAATGCAGTGCTCTGATTGGTTAGTTGGTTCCAATGGAAACCACTTTCTATAGAAAGTAAAGACCATGGTATGGTTAAGATGCAATATTAAAAATCCTAATTTAGTTTTTCCAATTCATAATATGAATTCCACTTTGCGGTAAAAACTTTGTATACTTTTTGGGTAAATATGTGACATGATAAAAAAATAAGAATTATATCTCCGCATTGAATACACTGTACATAACAATAAATGTAACACGTTGTTTTTGTGACTACTTCAAGCATTTTGCAGTTACACCCACTAATTATCTTGTTTACAAATGTACAAAATACACATTCAAAACTCATTACCAAAAATCGTCGAAATTTGGTTATGTTACGCATAAAACATCGATAATTATCTACTCACTGTATAATAAGATAGTAGTCCGCTGTTGTCGTCCAGCACAAACCACCGATATTGCCATCCTTTCATCACATTTGTCCATTTACTCAAAGAACCTTCCATTACGGCCATATTTTTTTGAAAAGCAACACTAAACTACTCCACTGACATTACGATTGTTTAGTGACAATTATGACAGATAAATCCCTAGATTCTTGACAGAAACAGATGTAATCTGGGTTGCATACGTTCGAAGTGCGTTCGAGTGATTTTGTGTGGCGCCACTGGCGTATTTTTAGTAAAGGTGTTCTTTGGTTTTTAGTTTTTGAAATTATTTCTAGGTATTTTGTTTTGGAAATTCCACACTGGAATACGTGGAAATTGATGTAGACAACAGGTAAAAAATATTAACTATTATTGTTTAATCATGGTTTAGTCGCCACAAAATACCTAGTTTTTACGAGGGGTAAACCACTGATTTTTTAAAATTAAAAATCGCTTACGAATTAACGGCTAAGGATAACAATAACCATGGTTGTGCACAATGGATTGTGACAATAACAAGGGTAGTCATGTACAACGCGTCGCTAAGCACTGATTAAGCACCGATTAAGCAAGTTTTCCTTATTGATAACGACTGATAAGGAAAAAAATCTCAACACAACGTCCACTAACACTGAACGGTTGTCTCTAAGATTTTAAAGTGGTTTACCCCTCGAGTTTTTATTATTAAATTGACATAAAAAATTTAAATGTGATGATTTACCTACCTACTATTTATGAGAATTTTTGTAAATTATATAAAATTTTATCCTACTTTGTATACATATGTAATTATGAGAAAATTTGCTTTTTAATTATATTTAAAGCACAGGGGAGATGCGTTGCTATAAAACTATTCGTATTTTCTTATTTAATAATCAGGGCCGGCTCTAGAGCATTTGGCGTCCTGTAAAAAATTATTATTAATTTCTGTTTAAAAAACAAATTAAGAAAATTGAAAAAACACAATCTTAACTAAAATATCAGTAAAGTGAGGGTTACTTTTTATTTTGTCGTACCCTTTTCTCCAACAGAGCGCTGAGTGCTTTTTAGATATTAAACAGATGACAAAATATAAAGTAGGTAACCCTCAATTGTTAATATTATAAAGATATTATATCTATAATAGGTACCTATATCAAATATTTCATGAGGAAATTATGGAATATTATAAAACAGTTTTGAAATATCTACGACAGTGGAGAGCTTCTTTCTCCAAATTTAATGTTTTTAAATGGACGAATTTAAATAAAAGACCAGAATGGAATGAAGTTAAAAATCCATATTCTATAGAATATATTTAAATAATTACAAGAAAAAGGTATATGTATCCATCAATGATAATAATTTTGAAAAAGTAGTAGTGCTATACTAGAAAATTATCCGTTCTGAAAAAAAAATTAGTTTTGATGTGCCAATATTTATATGCAGCTAGTTGCGTGTGTTGAAATAATTTTCTCTTTGTTTGATTTCCAGTGGAACAAAGAGCAAAATAGGCTTCCATCCGATCGGCTCCAGGCCTGGGATGTGCGACCTGTGAACCGACAAAGGGCACCAAGTACCTACTATCTTTCACCCTCTAGGTAGGTACTGTATTTAAAATATACGGCACATAAAAAAACAGATAGATGCTTTCCTTCGGACCTTATTTCCTATGAAGTGTTAACCATATAAAATACTAATATCTCCCAATATATTGCATCTACATTGGGGTTGCCATAAGTCGATTATTGATCACCGAGACATTATTACCAAAATGCCCAAAACAATCAACAAAAAATTTAAAATTAGCTTCGAAGCTGTTAATAATTATTTAAAAATTAAACAGATCAAAATCATTTGACCTAAAAGTTGGTACGCCAAAATGAGCCTCATTAATTTAATGCATTAATGTTTATCAAATAATATCTGTGATTTTCGTACTTTCTTGTTAAATATTTAACAGTTATAAAAAAGGCGATAGCATGTCTTTTATCTAGTGAATTTAAACATTTCATAATATGATAGGGTAAAGTCAGGAGAGATGCCATACTTTTCGTAATTTGCTTTTTAATTTAAAATTTATGGCCGGTCATGGGTACCTTAACTTACTTGGGGTCGAAATTTACTATTTAACATTTTCGGAAACCAGAAAACCTGTTGAACCGGCTATTTTTCACAGAATTGTTTTATCTTCATTACCTACTTACAAAGATATGATTTTTTTAAGTTTAGGTTTCCGAAAAGTCGATTTCGAGAAAAACGCGTTTAAAGTTTTCGAAAAGTATAAACGTGAATACGGCCACAAAGGAATATCATTGCATAATGATATAACCTTTAAAGGTAAATTTTCTATAGATATAATATTGATATTATATCACCTAATTTTGTATGGGTCTAGACATCTGATCTGATTGATGAATCATATTTTTTTAATATTTTGGGTATACATCTATATCAAGTGGACCAAACTTCGATGTGCAAAAGTGTTTTTTTTTAATTTTTCAAAAACTACCCGAGCTATTCATTTAATTTTTGGACATTTTAAGTGTTTGGCTTCACCCAAATAACAACTTTGGGCGTCACCACTAGATGGGGAGACAACATTTATTACCAAAACTTTGTTACTCAAATAATTCAGGGGACAAATAAAAATTACGTGAAATTTACAGGGTGCACCAAGTATCATTCTATAGGAGTTTTCTAAAACCTACTCTGGGTTACTTACCCGGGTCCCAAAAGTCACGTGACCAGAACTCGAAGGTTACTTATAATTATATTACTTAAGTACTCGTTCACTTTAGTAAGCGAAAAGCACACCCAAACAACCAGTTTACATTTTATGTACGTACATAGTACGTCGACCTTCGATGTACCTTACATTTTACGTACGTACTGCGATATCTTATGTACATCCTAAGTACGTACTAAGTACGTCCAAATTCCATTCGATAATACGTTTTATGTATGTACATTTACCAAGTATTAAGAACGTAGTTTATACATAAATAAATCGTACTTTTATTCCGTACACAGAAAAAAGCTTTAGTTAGCCCAACTATTTTTTGTTTGATTTAACTAAATACATTTGGCTGATTTGACTAAATAAAAAAAACATTTTTTAAACCATTTTTTTATATTTTTCAAGAAACATGAAATTCCTTGACGCATTACTAGTACACTACCAGTGGTGGTATTATTCCAGAATATTGAACCTTCAGCTCTCTAGAGGAAATGTTTTTAGTGCGTTCACCTACTTGAAATTGACAGCTGTTTCCACCTATTTAAGGTCTCTTTAGTATCAAACAACTTGTATTGTCACACTAAAGCAAAGGACTATCTCAGCCTATATACTCTTCATGTAAGTCAACAGAGGCGAGATTTAAGAACATCACGTGATCCACACCGCCTTTGCCGCGATCGGTACACACTATGCAACCAGGAATACTTTAAAAGTATTTTCTACATACCTTCTTTGTACATACTATGTACGTACTGAGGACGACTGAACCTTACATTTTATGTACATAATATATAGTACGTACTTAATACATATTTTTTTGGTCTTAGAAGTACGTAAATACGAGCCCTAACCACATAATGTTCGGACACTTCATAATTTATACAGAAATTTTTTTCGTGAATACTATCTCAAAATTATTAGAAGTTATGAAAAATTCAGCTTATTTTGGCATATACCCCTCGAAGCGATTTTTATTTTTAAAAAGTTTACCTTTTATTTTTAGCTTTTAAAAAAAGGCTAACTTTTTAACTTTTTTTTGTATGAGTAAAAAAAGTTATAAATGGACCCATTAAAAAGAGCATAAAATATTATACAAACCCTGAAAATTTGGTAAAAAATAAATAAGTTATAAAAAAGTATAAGTAATTTAAAAATGCTATTTTTAAAGAGTTTTTGCAATTTTCTTAGGAAACGGGAGATTTTGCAGATATATATATCGCTATAACTTTCTTATTATTTATACAATTTTTACCAAATTTTCAGGGTTTGTATAATATTTTATGTTCTTTTTAATGGGCCCATTTATAACTTTTTTTACTCATGCAAAAAAAAGTTAAAAAGTTAGCCTTTTTTTAAAAGCTAAAAATAAAAGGTAAACTTTTTAAAAATAAAAATCGCTTCGAGGGGTATATGCCAAAATAAGCTGAATTTTTCATAACTTCTAATAATTTTGAGATAGTATTCACGAAAAAAATTTCTGTATAAATTATGAAGTGTCCGAACATTATGTGGTTAGGGCTCGTATAACCAAAAATGTACATTTTTAAAACGTACTGTGTTGTTTGTGCAGGTTATAAAATATGACTTTTTTCAAATGAAACCGCCTAAATAAAATATTTTAATACTTTGATTAAAATAAATACAAATTCCACACTTAAAAACAAACAAAAACAAAAAATGTGTACCATTAAAATTAAACTGATGCAAGGCTTGCCTTTTAATTTTAATTCAATATAAACCAAAAAGCATTTAAGAAGACATATATTTATAAATATATGGATAAAAAAAATTAAAAATTTTCCAATATCACATACAAACTATAGTTGTTATAACAAAAATGACGACTTCTTCACCATTTCGTTAAAGCTATAACCACTTACTCCAGCTGCCTACCAATCTACCCCAACTGTATTAAAAATTGTATGCTACACACAGTAAGTCAAGATTATTTATATTTTACCGACTTATCAGCCAGAAGATTGTTTATTAACAAAAACAAAACCTATGAAAATCTAGCAAAGAACCAAATTGTTAAGCATTCTGATTGGAGTGATTCTGAATAGCCGGTTTACTACTGAATTTAGCACCCTCTTTTTTTTTAAACAATAAAGAAATAAAAGCTAACGTTCTTTATAAATAAAATGGGATTCTTAAAAATAAAACTCATATTTTATTATATTTTTATTATAATTTATAAAAATATTACAAAGTATCATACACTGTACAAGGTACCTATTTTGATTTATATTAGCAAGATAAATCAAAATTTGTCCTAACCTAGCTAAAAGTAATTTTAAAGTAAAAAAAATGATGTTTATACAAGAAATGAAAAATGAACGAAAAGAGAAATGAAATTGAAGAAAAATAATTTAATTTATCTTATAAAAAATAAATTTACCATTAAAAAATCTGTTACCGAGATACCTTTAGCAAAAAAATATAAAGCAAGTTTAACAATAAAAATTAAAGATATCTTTTAATTTTGTCATAATAAATACAGATCAATTTCAATAAATTACTACAAACCAATAATATTAATGCTATAATTTTATATCAAGGCAACAGAACTTGGAAAAAACGTAAGCCCAAAAATGATGGCATATACGTTTTTACAGTCTTAAACCATTATAAGGTTTTTGCTCACTAGATACCGACATATCCTCGCTGCTTAACGATTTTCCAGAAAAGTCCACAAAACTGGAGAGCTGTTCTGAGGGTTTGGGCTCCAAGTCATCTAAAAGAAAATAAATTAATATTTTTTATTACAAAAAAATCTTAGGTACCTACCTTTCATGGGATCTATAATGGGTATATTAGACCCAATACCCTCGGACCCAGCACCATCAAGGTCAGACTCTTCGAAGCTGTCATTTCGGTCGATTTGGCCTTCGTATGGAATTCTTGTTTCGACGATGTTTGAAGCTGCAGCCTTTTCAGCTTCGACTTCATCTTTTTCTGCGTTAGCTTCAGCTGCATCCACGAAAGCCGACGATAATTCGCCGCTCAATTTGCTGACTGATTTTGATGGCACGTCGTACATGAAGATTTCTTTGCCTTCTGCTCCTCTGTAAAAGGAAAATTGTGTTGTGATTAATTGTTTTTTAAAATTAATTTATATAATACCTTGTCACTAGAAGAATTACAGATTGTTTATCTGCTCGTGTTTTACTCTCATTTTCAAAAAACTTTCTAAAATTTTCACTCGTTGGATTGTTTAACAAAACCTTCAATGAATCATCTTGAACCAAAGCCAATTCTTCAGCATTCTCAATTTTTCTGGTCTTTCTTTTCGATGAAAAATCGTAGGCCACTGGAGCCAAAACCACAACACTTGAAATTTTTTTGCCCTTTAATTCTGGAACATCAGGAATGGGAAATTGCGTACCATTAACCTTTAATGGCAAATATCTGTTATAAGTACTATCGTTTAAAACTACTGGATCAACTCTCTTAGCGCCTTGTTTCAAGTATTTGTTCTGAACTTTCTGCCCATCCCCAGTTTCAGGATTGTAATGCACAACCTTCATGGATACTGGGGCTTTTACTTTGACAGTTTGAAACTCTGAACCAGCAGAATCCAAATCATCATATGGTTTTACCACTGATTCTACACGTTGGCTTTCAGCGCCTATTTGGGAGCCACCGCCCGCATTGTAGAAGTTCGCCAATTGATCTGGTGGTAGAGCGGATAAAGGTATGTCTCCTACTTTATCGTAGTCTAAGATTGAAATATCAGCATTATTTAGGATGCCAGATGATAATAATTGAGCCCTTAGATCCTCTGGAACTTCGTCTGGTAGTTGGGCTTCTAAAATCCTAGGATCTTTAGTTGTAGTGCTTTGTGTGGAAGGTTCTTCCGTAGTTGTAGTACTTGGTTTTGGACTTGTTGTTGTTTGGTAGACAAATCTTGGAGATGATGTTGTTGTTCTGTATACTGTGGTACTTCTAGGTGTTGTGAAAGAATGTTTTGGCTGATATTGTTGCTGCAATAATTGTTGGTAGAAAGTTTGTTGTAAGTTTTGACTGTTTTGTTTGTCTTCTTCGTATTGTGGTTGAGGTTGAGGTTGAAGTTGAGGTTGAGGTTGAGGTTGATGTTGATGTTGAGGTTGTTGTTCTCTGGATTGCAACTCGAAGTGATCTTGTTGCTGAGTAAAACTCTGCTGAGGTTGTCTATTAAAGTTGCTCTGCTGACTATTAAAACTGCTTTGTTGTTGGCTATGATCTTGCTGTTGTTGAATGTTTAGATTACTTTGTTGAGTTTCTTGGAAAGAAGGTATTTGTTGTGGTTTGTTAGGTTCGATTATCGAGTAATGTTGCTCGTACTTTGGCAACGAATGTATCAATTCGCCGCCAGGTGGCACCAGGTTTTTTGCTTGTTCGAAGTTTTGTGAATGCTCATTTTGTTTTTGTTGAAGTTGCAATTGATGTTGTTGCAGAATTTGCTGATTTTGTTGCAATTGTTGCTGCTGTATTTGATGATGTTGCTGTACTTGATGATTTTGTTGCTGTATTTGATGCTGTTGCTGCTGAATTTGATGATTTTGTTCCACTGGTCTACGATTTTTCGTTTCTTCCAAAATCTGCTGCTGTATTTTATGTTCTTGTACTTGCTGAGGATTAAATACGTTATTTTGTTGAGGTAGAGGGGGATGCTGTTGCGCCGGGAAGTGAGTTTCCGGCCTGAACTGTATATTTTGGGGTTGTGTCTGTGCTGGTTGCCTAAAGCTTGGAGGGGGTTGTCTAAATTGCGGAGGTGGGTTATTAAAATTGTGATTTTGAGATGGGAAGTTTTTTTGTTGTTGCGGTATTGGTTGTTCGAAGGGTTTGTAAGGTACAGGTTGGCGTTGAGGGGGGTTTGAGGGGGATCTAGAGAACGGGGGGAAGGGTGCGTTATTAGGAGGGAAAGATAGCTGAGGTGCGACTTGTCTTAAAAATGGTGGTGTTGAGAATGATCCTTGAGTAGGTGGCTTAACATATGGGGGGTTTTGGTATTTAAACTGTGAGGATGAAAATTGAGGGGGTGGTCTGTTAAATTGGGGTTGAGGTTGTTTGAAAGAAGGTGGTGGAGGTGCGTTGAAGGGTCTATAACCTTGTGGTGGTCTGTCAGATCTGAAACCTTTGTTACTGTCAAAAGTAGGTGCGAAACTGGGCGCTCTTTTTTGATAGGTAGGGAAATTAGATAACTGTCTAGCTTGTGGGAATTGCACTGAATGAGGCTGATCTGCTGATGACGATCTTTCCTGTTGATTTAATTCTTCCGGTTTGTTGCTGCGTTTGCTGTGATCCCAGCCTTCTTTACCGAAAGTCACTTTAATACCGCTTTCGCTGTGGTAGATTTCAGAGTCGGGTTTAATCAATGTTCTAAGGGTTGTGCTTGGTGGTGGTGGAAGGGTTTCGGTTTCATGGGTTTCATGAGCGGCTGGATATCCTGGATGTTCCTCCTCATGTTCTTCTTCATCGGGGATTTTTGGTGAGATGGCTGGTACTGGTTTGTCATAGATAACGCTATCTTTACCATAACCGTTGGGGTTTTTCTTGTATTTAACATAGAAAACCTGAACTTCTTCCTTCTTTTTCTTCGGTGCTGGAGTCGTAGGGGGTGGCGGTAAAGTTATATTCGACTCTTTAATAATAATCTCGATGATTGGCTCAGGTTCCTTGATGAAGATAGGTCTCTCAATAATCTTCGGCAAGTTGATTTTATAGTGTTGAGGGGGATGTTCGTAGTTCGGCGGCGGCGGTGGGTGTCCGTAATGCTCGTGGATGTGGTTATTCTCACTGGCTAGGTCATCTGCGGGGAGGGGTAAACTGTTAGTATCATAAAGAGGATCTTTTTGTGAATAATGGATCAAAGGTTCCATTTGAACAGCGTAAGGAGGTGCAGGATAAGAATTGGATCTACCTTTGTTAATTGTCGTGTATCTGGAGGGACCTGAAAGGTTAGGCGGATTTAAGTAGGTGAACGGAATGCCGGATATCCGCCTCTCGGACCGGAAGCCATGTGGCCCTTGGTAGTGGTGCGAAATACTGTATTCCAACTGACGCTTTCCTCGGTCCTCGCGCTTTTTGGGGCGGTGCTCGTCTACAGCTAATGAAACCGTTACCAAACAGCTAAGTATCAACTAAAATAATAATAAGAGGAATTGTTAGATATATTAGATAATCACTAATTAATAAAAATTGTGTTGGATAACGAAGATGATACTTCGTGATTATTGCTTAATAACAAGCAATTAAAAATAAATGATATAAATCATTATATTTATTCAATTACATTTGTATTTATTTTGATGCAATTAATAATTAGATAACGCTAAAGCGGAAAAATTTAGAGCAAGTTATTTTTTCTGTATTAGATAATTTTTTTACAAAATATATTATTAACGTTAAACAAAGAATTATTTTTCTTAAATGCATAATTAAATATTTTTTTGGAAATATATTTTTTAAAAAACATACATTTAATTTAAATGTATGTTTTTTAAAATATAATATATTATATATAAATAAATGTATAATAAATAAATAAAACATAGAAGCAAAAATTCAAAAACAATAAAAATATATCAAGCACAGCCCAGGTATAAAAAAAAATGGAATAGCTCCTGTAAACTATTTGCATTCCATATTTAAATATCCCATCAATGCTTTCATTTCTTTAACACAATTTCTTATTGACATTGGCATTGACTCTAAAAGGTAAAGTGAAAATGTTTGTTTAATTTCTTAAATGAAGCCAACAAACTTATTTCTTACCTAAATTTTTATCGCTTTTCTAAACCATTGTTTATACTTTATTTTATAGATTTTTTATTTAAAGTACCTATAGGTACAGGGTGGTCCACGTAAGGTGACCCATATACTTATCTCAGAAACTACTGGAGTCACAAAAAATTTGTAAGGAACAAATATTCACGAAGTAAAAAATATTTTTAAAATATTATATTTTCATTTATACAGGGTGTTCGGTTTTCCTTGGGACGATACCAACTTTCTTATTTTCAATGGAACACCCTGTATTTTTTTGCATTTTTGGATTCTTCCCACTCTTTTAGGTAAACTTTGTAAATATATTAATTAAGAAAATGTTAATACTTTTTGAGTAAAATTAAGATTTATTAAAATTTCTCTAAATGTAGACACTCGCTAAAAGTTAAAAATAACCAACTAAAAGTTATTATTTTTTATATTATGTAGTATCCATCTCTTTAATAATAAGTAAGCTATAAGTTAATTATTATATTTTTTGGAAAATATCATACAGGGTGTTTTCTATGTCCCGTTGAAAATAGCGATTTTAAAAGTTTAAAATCTTGTTTTTCTTCAATGAAACACCCTATATATTTTTGCATAATTGGATAGAATAAGTAATTACCTTTCATTTTATATATATATGTCCTATACCTAATCCTAAGAGAAAAAAAAATATTCGCATTTTTCACAATTAGTAGCTTTTTTCCAATTACCTTAGTTAAATTTTCATTATTCAAAGAAAACACCCTGTATAATGTTTTCCAAAAAATAAATTAATTAACTTATAGCTTACTTATTATTAAAAAGATGAATGCTACATAATATAAAAAATAATAACTTTTAGTTGGTTATTTTTAACTTTTAGCGAATGTCTACATTTAGAGAAATTTTAATAAATCCTCATTTTACTCAAAAAGTATTAACATTTTCTTAATTAATATATTTACAAAGTATACCTAAAAGAGTGTGTAGAATCCAAAAATGCAATAAAATATAGGGTGTTCCATTGAAAATAAGAAAGTTGGTATCGTCCCAAGGAAAACCGAACACCCTGTATAAATGAAAATATAATATTTTAAAAATATTTTTTACTTCGTGAATATTTGTTTCTTACAAATTTTTTGTGACTCCAGTAGTTTCTGAGATAAGTATATGTGTCACCTTACGTGGATCACCTAAAAAAAATATTCGCATTTTACAAAATTAGTAGCTTTGCGCGTATGGTAATTATTAAAGTAATATATATTTATATATAAAAGCATTTTTATTTGTTGTTATTGAAATTTATTTATTTGAATAATGAAAATTTAACTAAGGTAATTGGAAAAAAGCTACTAATTGTGAAAAATGCGAATATTTTTTTTTCTGTTAGGTTTAGGTATAGGACATATATATATAAAATGAAAGGTAATTACTTATTCTATCCAATTATGCAAAAATATATAGGGTGTTCCATTGAAGAAAAATAAGATTTTAAACTTTTAAAATCGCTATTTTCAACGGGACATAGAAAACATCCTGTATGATATTTTCCAAAAAATATAATAATTAACTTATAGCTTACTTATTATTAAAGAGATGGATACTACATAATATAAAAAATAATAACTTTTAGTTGGTTATTTTTAACTTTTAGCGAGTGTCTACATTTAGAGAAATTTTAATAAATCTTAATTTTACTCAAAAAGTATTAACATTTTCTTAATTAATATATTTACAAAGTATACCTAAAAGAGTGGGTAGAATCCAAAAATGCAAAAAAATACAGGGTGTTCCATTGAAAATAAGAAAGTTGGTATCGTCCCAAGGAAAACCGAACACCCTGTATAAATGAAAATATAATATTTTAAAAATATTTTTTACTTCGTGAATATTTGTTTCTTACAAATTTTTTGTGACTCCAGTATTTTCTGAGATAAGTATATGGGTCACCTTACGTGGACCACCCTGTACACAATAGTGACAATTTTCAATTTAAAACTTATAATCAACTTTTTTGCTTTCTCTGCTTAAAATGACGTAACAAAATGTTTTCTACTATTTCTAAATACTACGTGCATCCGTGTTAGATAGACATACAAACTACAGAATTAATTCCACATTTAAATTTATTATTATTATTTATTTACAAAATGTTACATTTATTAGTCAAAATGCCTTTTCCTGTGTCTCAACATATGATCATTCCTGGGGAATCCTTTATTACAAACATTACAAATAAATCGAAAATCGTTGGAATGTTGAACCTCGTGCCTAATTAAGTCACTTTTGTAGTTGTACTCTTTAGGGCACATCTGGCATTTAAAGTTTTTTTTTTGGGTGTGGCTCAGGAGGTGTTTATTACCTTTTTCTTCAGTCTCGAATCGTTTACCACATTTGGAACATTTATATTCCTTGTCTTTGTGATGGGCATTGATATGCTGCACCAAATAATTTTGCCCCGTGAATTCTTTAAGACATACTTTACATTTATAGCTTAAATATGCCATTTCTATAGTTTGTGAAATTAAACTAAGGGGGAATTCATGGGGCACCTCTTGTGGATTTTCCTGTATTTCGTTACTAACATTTTCTACACATCTTTCTGGAGTATAGCTAGAGTTGGTATTTGGTACTTCCATCCCAATTAAACTATATGGATCTTCATGTGGAACATGTTGTGGATTTTCCTGCATATTTTCATTGTATGTTGCTTTAACTCTGTTTGGAGAACTAACATTTTCCGCACAACCGGGAATATAGCTAGAACTAGCATTTGGCCACATTTGGTTACCATGCACTAAATATCCAGGTAAAACTCCAAAGGGATAAAGAGGGTTAGTCTGCATATATTTGCTGAAATGTACCAAAAATTTCATATCTTCTTGCTTTTGAAAAACTTCGTAATGATTGTAAGGTGGTAAGTCCATTGGGTTAGGGGTTATTATCGATTCTGGCTCCTGATAATCGTTGTTTTCACTTTTAATGGTGGTTTCGTATAGATTTGTTTCTTTGTCGTATTCATTGTCGAGTTTTTCGGTTTTAATTGTCACAAAATTATTTTCCATTTCACAATTTATTATTATTTAATTCAATGTTAATTACACAATTTATATTAGAATACTACATCAAAATTTAATATAGGTACCTAAGTAGGTAAAATAAAAACGATAATTTTTTGTTTATTTTAATAAAACACATAAACAATAAATCAGGGAGGTATTAAAAAATAAACACTAATTATAAATTCGGTTATCATAAACTTATATTCGTAAATTTTTTTAATAATATCCGGCTGTGCCGGCCCCTTAACCTAAAAATTATTTAAAGTGGATTTGTTTATGTAAAGAATTTAAAGTGTTAGCGATTACATATGAATTATTTTAATATTTTTTATAAAAAATAAGATACTTGTTGGAATTACCACTTTTAATTATTTTTGCCATAAAAATATATTTCTTTTATTGTATTATATGTATAGGTATTTAAGATTGGGGGTGGGTTAAAGTTTGAGTCAAATTTCTTGTATTTTTTGTAATCAGAAAATATTGATTTATAAATATAAGGCTATACAATAGACTGGTCGTAAAAAATTTTTTTTCAACCGCCGGGCGAAAAAAGTTTTGTTTTGGCCTAAATATGTCTCATTTAAAATTTCGTAGTTATAAGATAATATTTAGTGGCCGCGCCCAGGCAGGTAAATATGAAAATACGGAAAATATTAATAAAAATAATATTTTTAAAACAAATTTAATTATGGCGTAGTAAACTTATTTTTTATGTATTAGTATGTAGTTGCATTGCTAATAAATTAACTCATCTAAAAACTACATAAATTCAAAATTGGTTTTAATAAAGGAACTTTTATATGAAATGTAGAAACGACATTACTCTAATTCTTCAAGTACAAAATATACCTATTTTTTCCACCGCGTAAAAATAATGTTACTAACTTTATAGATATCGTTGTCAGGTTGACAGTTACTGTATTTATCATTATCTGTCATTGGCAATAATTGACTATTATTAACCTCATTTAAACGTCAAATGTGAAGAGATTATATCTTTATTTAAATTTATAAAAAAGTGTTTACAATGTCGATTCCATCGACTTCATCTGCGGAAACGCCACCGACAACATCAACAAGAATTACTCGTGCAACCGACAATGTTTTGCGTCATATCAATAATTGATAAATTATTTAATTGGGTCGGAGACCACAGCTCTGGCATTTTTTGATCCTTGTGTTCCACTAGAAGATAAACGAAAAATGGTAAAAAATCTTCAATCAAGAGAACCAAACGTAAAATTATTAGAAGGGCGACGAATCTCAAACCCGGAAGTCTTATTCCCAAGCTCTTTAAGCGATTTCAAATCGTATAAGACCTA